ATATCAGCTTCAAATTTAGTTGGCTGTCTGCTTTTACTCTTTCTTTGCTCCTTTTTCTGTCTTTTAGTCTGAATGACCTACACTAATTATATCTGTTATTATTTTCTTTTTTCTTTTGACGACGACACCGGAGGACTAAATGGTGAAAAGATCAACTCCATTCACAGTAGTGACAAAGTCTTAACACACCGCATACTACGAACAACATATAATTAATCCCAGCACTACTCCTTTTGGAGTCAACCAGAGCTACGACAGTCGAGTGGCAGGACGAACTTTGCAGAAGTTTACCGAAGACCAGGAACCTTTACCTCACAATCAAGAAGCGAGCATGAAGAAATCAAATTGGTTCATACTAGCTCGTAAAGATGATATTGGATATTGCACATCTCGTTGAGTCACCGTCGAAAGTCGAGGGGAAAACGCTATTGTGGTTGCCAGCGTGTATTAAAACGTACACAAACTAATCATATGATTCTCCCCGAAGCTGTTAGTAATAGCTGTAGTTCCCTGTGTAGAAGTTAAACCTTAAGATCCAATAAGTGCCAACAGATAAGTGAACTCGAACGCACCAATCATATGATAAAGGCGATTTATATGCACAGAATGCATGTGTTTATCAAAATAATGAATTAAGCGGCATGAAAATGCTACACATGATACCCTTCTCTGACGTCTGACAAAAAGGCCGCTTAGTTTTTGACTGGAGTGTCACCAGAGTGGTTTAGCCACGCTCTATACATGTATTTCTCGAGGCGTACTAATCCTAAAAGTCACCTCAATCTTCTTCCAAAATAATCTTAATAGCAATATTATAATAATAACCGCTTTATTTTGAACAGTGATTACATGATATACAGAATTTTCAACCGAGTTAAATGCATGATATTTTCTCTCCGTCCAGGATATTCAAGTATTAAATCCATCGACAGCACGTCGTGTGACACAGTTCCATGTGAAAGTGAATGAGAAACAATCAATCATGATATTTCTTCTTAGTCTCCGAAAAATAATCGAAACTTTCGGATCTCAGATTTATTGGTTGAGGGTAGAAGGCTTGGAGCCTATGTTAATCCTTTTCTAGCAAATTTCTGTGCTTGTAGGAACCCTTCTTGAATGAATCAGCTGAGGTAGCAGACACCACTTCTTTCGGGAGTCGGCTTCGGGGGTTTATGGTTTAGTGTGAGAACCAGTACTCCACTGCAATGTGTTTTCTCCTTGCCTTTTGAACTCTCCCGCTATGTCCTCTTAGGTGTCTCCACCTGGCGGGAAGGAAAAGAGAGATTAGGTCAGGTCCGTAGTCATTATTTTAAATTTTAAACATTGTAATCATACCTTCTCTCTGCCTACGGTATAATAGGGAGAAGAGATTTGAGCTGTCTGGTCTTTCCTCGCATGATAAATTAGTCATGCTAGGAATCATAAATGTTGCCCTCCTTTGAAACCCTTCCAGAATATGTGAGTCCCCTTTAACATAAGGACTGGCTACTTGGGTACAGTTTCCCAGTCTCGACCTCACCAGATATGTGTATAAGGAGGCGAAAATATCTCTGGTGATTCTAGTAAAGACTCTGCGGATTGCCCGTAAGGGTCTGAAACTACTTGCAGCCACCGCGCAACAGTGTACTGTAGTTTTTGAGTCATGACTTACAATGACACCTAAATCCAAATGAGTCTGATTTGAGAGGAGTTTTATTCCGTCCAGTTCGTAGGGGCTGATGCTTGCGTGTCCAATGTGTATTGTTGCACATTTCGCTACATTGATCGGGTGCATCCACTCTCTGGACCACTCTGACAATTTGTTGAGGTCTCGTTGAAGTGTGAGCGTATCACTGCCGCCCTTCAGCTCTCTCCAGATTTTCAGGCCATCTGCGCATAGGACCATTGGGGAATCCATGAGCACAGATAACTCATTGATATACAAATAAATAGGAGAGGTCCGAGTATGGCGCCTTGTGGCACTCCGCTACGCACTGCTGTCCAAGAGGAGAGTTTCAAGTTGATCCTAACCCTCTGCCCCCTATCCATGAGGAATTCCCTGATCCAGCTTAGTAAGCTGCCTTTGATACCGAAACTTTCCAACTTCATGAGTGGTCTTCTGTGGGGAACTTTATCGAAGGCTTTACTGAGGCCTATGAAGACGAAGTCAACGGGTCTTCCGTTGTCCCTTGACTTGACCCAGCTTTCTCTCGCAGTAGGAAGATTTAACAGGTATGAGGGGTTTCCTCTGAAGCCATGCAGTGCTTTGGATAACAAGTTGTTGTTCTTCAGTTATACCATGACAATTTCCATGATCCTTTTCAGTGACTTGATTAAAGTGCTGGTGAGACTAATGGGCCTGTAGTTTGAAGAACTTTGTCTTGATCCTCCTCTGTGGATGGGGGTCACTATGGCGTCTTTCCAGTTACGCGATAACACTCCATTTAGGAGAGATGGCTTGAAGTTTGTGGTCGGTGGGCTGGCTATTCGAGCTGATAGCTCCTTGAGAGGCGCTGGATGAAGATTATCGGGTTCCATTGATTTCTTTGCTTCTAGCTTCTTTAGGCAGTTGGGGACAATGCCTTGGTGGACGTCGGCGTAGTCTATGCTGCGTTTCTGTGATGCAGCCAGAGCTGATCCTATGGGGAGTGACGACTCCTGTTTATTTATTTGACAGAAGTAATCAGCCATTGCTTCTGCCTTTGTTGATCATCTTCGATTGTTTCATTGTCAGTAGTCAGGTTTGGGACACCATTGTGTGTTTTATTCCTGAAGTTCCTGTACGAGGAAATTTTCTTAGGTCGTGCCGTTGCACTTTATGTCAGATGTGCTCTGAATTTTATCCTTGGTCTTCGGATTTCTACATTAGCACTGTTGTGTAACTTTCTTGTCTCAAGAGACCGAAGTGTGGTAAACAGGTTCCAGCATTTGTGTTTACGTCTGAGTAACTTGCGGATCTCTCAGTTCATCCAAGTGGAGCAATGTTTCAGGCCCTTTGGGACAGACCAAGAGATGAAAGGTTCAGTTACCTGGGCGTAAAATTGTTAAAACTGGTTCCATGTAGCTTCTACTTGGGACTCTGGGTTGATTTGCCAGTTCATTGAGTTGGCTGCTGAGCTAATAGCATTTATATCAGCTTTCCAAACGTTTGGTCAGGCTGGGATTTCGGCCCACGATACTGCTGTTGGGAACTTGAAAGTGAGCACAGCGTGATACTGGATTCCAGCAGCTTATAATCAGAGGAGTTGTCTGAAGATGGAATTGTAAGGCTTGTCCAGTCAACTGTTTTGGCGTTAAAGTCGCCGACTGCGAGACTTCGACATTTCGATGTCCAGGAGCCTAGCCTCTCTACTATGAAGTCGTCTGCACTGCAGTCAGGACTGCAGAATATAGCAAACAAGTTAATATCTAGGCCCTGTCAATGTCCAGTTCTAACTACACTGGACTTAATGCTGTCCTTAGAAGACCTTCAGTAACAATATGCAATAAGCAACGCGAAAGTACAGAACTCAGATTGGTGACTCGAGAATCCTTTATTCTTGCAACAATATGAAACCAACAATAAGGTTATTATACACAAAGTCTAATAATAAATGTCATAACAATTAATCACAATAATACTTCTGATAGTATTTCTCCATCTTCTAACGAACAGCCTACAATGGAACGATGACTACAGTATCAGTGACTCCAGACGAAATATAGAGTTGGTTTTGAGTAAACAATCATGAATTGATCGTTCATTCTTTAACTACATTTACAGCCTATTTATTTAATTCTGCAGCGTGAAATTTCGCACAATTCACTGTTGTGATCTGGTGTTTCGATGCTACGCACGGTCAAGCCTTTCTTGAGGTGGATGATACACCTCGTTTGCGGCGAAGTTGTTACACCCTTTGCACTTCGAGGTTTGGTGGGTTAACTTCGTTGTCAGTGACATAGGATGTGACCCATGCCTCTGTGATTTTAAGTGCACCTGAATTTCAGGAGTCTATCATATTACCCAGCTCAGTCCGTTTGTTCAACAGGCTGCGAGCATTTGTGTGTGACCTGTCGGAGAGATCAAGTTTGCTTGCGGTGGCTTTGTTGCCTTGTGGTGCATGTCTTTCCGTCCTTCGTGGACAGTGTGTCCTTTCTGGTGTACTTACCTCGCTTTTGGCGGGAGACTACATTACGCTATTCATTGGCGCCTTTCTCGCTCTCTGTTGTCGATTGTGTCTGCCTGCTATCCACCTGCTTGGACGGGGCTTGATCTACAAGTTTCTCGGAGACTTAAGCTGCGGGATTTTGCCCCCTGCTACGCCTTTGTCTCATGTCGCTCTTTCCATTACTGTCATTCAGGGGCTTATCGTGTATCGTAGGGTCAGTAAGGGTGTCTCGACGCAGGTGCGTTAGGAACGCGTATTGTCTTGTCGATGACGACAGCCACATCGTCGGTGTCTGAGAGGTAGTCACTCTTCTCCTTTGCTGGGGGACCTTCACAGCCCAGGGGCTTTAGTGCCCCAGTGAGTGCGGCAATGGCTTGCGTAATATGGAACCTTGTCGTACTTCAGAAGTCATTGCACAGATAGTTCGCCAGAGGTCTTCAGCAGCGCTTGTATGCTGCAGGAGTTAGTTTTGTGCACACGCTATGAAACCATCTCTTGCAGCTATCACACTGCATGCCTTCAGCTGGGAATCGACACAAAACCATTCCGCAGAAGTTCCTTTTTATAGGCATACTTTTCAGAGTGAATTAGGACTAGAAGATTCAGATATGACTTCGTATATATGACCATTACATAAATCAGTGATAAAAAGCCAATGAGTTTACAGAAATGGATATAAGAACACACTTCCTAGGAGCAAATAGACTCATAACTCAAAATGAAACTACCTTTGACCAGAATAAACTGATTTAAAGTTAATCTATAGATTTTTGGAACGTATAATACAATAAAAGCAGAAACTAGGCAAGATCGTGTAAATTCACTCATTTTTAAAGTTCGCGCGATAGAGTATCTGAAGGTCAAATATTGTAAGTAATATTACGTTAATTGGAAGGTCGTGTAGCTCGTGGCTCTTTCAACGTTTGAGATGTATGTTGCGTTTTCTACAAGAGGTGTATTTTTGTGACTTGTACTCTATACTTTTACTTCAGCTGTCGTAATAAACAGCCATGGGTTATACCATGTGGCTGAATCTGCATAAATGGTGCGTGTTAATGCCAAGCGCATACAAAGTGATAATAGTGTTATGATACATAGCAGTTTCACACTTATCCACATACACTTCTGAATCACTAAATATTGTAATAATTGTAACTTTTTAGCTTTCACGTAGAACACTATCGTGTATAAGGTTTTATATGCTTATTAGCATGCTACTGAGTGTTTCAGGCCTGAAATTGGTTGTGCAGAATGTTCCTGAAAAGCATGAAATATGTGAACACTTTATGACTTGTGAGAAATGGTGAAGATACTGGGAAAATACACTGTTATATTATACGTCTCATACTGTTCCATTTTCTAACCGGTTCCCTTCGTTTTCCCGCGTGGGGAAAGTGGATTAATTATGTAGCATTTCAAACCCCCCCTTTTTGTCCACGTCTTTGCCGATCAAAATTACCAGCTTAGCCTACGTTTGCTCACATTCCCAGGTTCATTCTCTGACTGGGACATACCATATCTCAAAGAACACTACCGCTTTTTCTAGATATTCCATATGTGTCGACAAACCATTGCGCTTTTTCGGCGGAATCCATTCGTTTTCTTCTTTCCGGGAAAAATTCCCCGACTATAATCATCGGATCTGAGTTGTTTCGGGAATACTGACCGGGAATCGATATCTCTTAGTGTGCTTGTTGAACGATGGCAACCACTTATTTTCCATTAGGTTGTTTTTACCCGATAATTATTGACGTATGGCATCTAATACCCCGCGGTTCTTTAAAATCCCACCTCATTCTGGCTTTCCTAATTGATAAACAATGTTCCTCTGACAAGCTGACGGTAAGACAACAGAGGCATCGGCTCAAAGATTACAGCCTAGTTTCTGTGAGGAAATGGATTCAAAGTACTCTCGTATGAGACTTGGGTCTTTGATCTAAAGACTTCATCATAACTCATCCCAGAGCTACATATAACTTGAACTAACTTGCACTCTGAGTCGGTAGCCTTTTTCCGTCAATTTTCCTTTAAGGTATTTCGTCGTCTTACTAGGGAGATTTCGCAGCCATCACAATGCACTAAGGTAGAAACAAACATTGATTTATCCTACAGAAGTCTTTGAAATAATGTAGTTCAAGTGGTTTTTAATATTATCCTCTGGAGTAGTGAGTTTAATTGTGAAGTTTCCTTCCTGAAATTGTCTTCAGGCCGTGGGTTAGAGAACTGTCTTTCCTGATGAAATCGACTGTGACTAGTCATACCCAGAGGATTTCTTACGATTGTATTCTTGTGTCCATAGTGGTGCTGGGAAGTATGTCAGCTCGTACAAATCAGGAGAAAACAACCAGTCTTCATTTTATTATTTTTGTGTGACGCATCTGTTGGTGCCCACATTGTGTTTAAATAATATTATAATAGCTATTTTGTGTTTGTCTTTCGACTAATGTAGACGGTACACACTAAGGTAACAATATAATCAAAACAGTCCAAGTAGGTGTGGTAAAAGACAAGGTATGGTTTTGTGATTTCGGAATTATCTACCGGAAATATATTGTTGAAGCCATAGGGCAGAAAACAACACTAATGACAGTTAACATTTTGTAGAGTGCTATAGTTGAAACGTGTAAACCAAATTAGGCAACTTGAAACTCTTGCTATGCAAACAGCTAGCTTTAGGATATCATGTGGTAAAGAACAAATGTTACACCACCAAATGAACAGTGGTTGAAAGTACTAGTAAAAAATAACGACGGAAATTGCGGTATCTTTAAGTGGTTTCTCATTCGAAAAATCACTGGGATGTGTGGACAGTCATCTGAATATAAGGTCAATATTCCAATAGATGGGTCGCCTTAAATTAAGTTTATCTACCCATTCTGATTCGTAATATTTCAGCGATTACGTATTTACTGTCACGTGTTTAAATACTTATGAATGTACATCAACAGTTGACTTGTTCACAAGCCCATCATTTAAGAAAAGTCCTAAATGCTACATGGTCACTTTAATCCTTTTTCCAGCAATTATTATATGAAAAAATGTCTTAGTGGAATGTCACTTTCCCTTCCCTCCATTAAGCCCTTTCATACTTATTGCTGAAATGCATAATGGTTTTAGACGGGTGCTAAGTGCAGGGATTATGATTGAATTTACTTGGCTATATGTGTACGTTGGAAATCTTACCTTCACCTGCCGTTTGTGTAACCCGTTGGCTAATTCACTAGATTTACCATCTAGTGTATCCAGCTATCATTTATCATGGTCTAGGCTGTTAGTTAATATCATAAACCTGTACCAAGTAGTCGAGTTTAGTCATTCATATTGTTATTGTCATTTTTATAAGTGCAAACACGGTGACTTGTCATTCGTTGTAGAAATGCTTTTAGCTTCATTTACAACTCTAATGAGGTACTATACATAATCAAACAATCATTCTAGCCAGTCGATGGTAAACAAGTTGTCTAGATAAAAAATGAACATACTTTTAAGCCTCTTCTACTTGACAGTATTGTATTGATGTTTCGTTAAATAAATACCGAAGTGGAGTCATCAGTACAATTCTTCGTGTCTAATTTTGTTATCACTTATTCACCATAACTGAATTGACTACAGAATTTCATCATGAGCTGACATCGGTTAGAGGACCATTTGTAAACCAGCGCCGGAGTACTGGACAACTGTATCTTCCTAGTGCTTGGAACTCTTCATCAGTACCCACCCACCGCCAAGCTTCGAATCTAGGATCTTCCGGTCACAAGGCGAGCTCGTAGACAATTGAGCCACTGGGACTCGATCTAATGCTGAGAATTCCATTCTGTATCACAAGTACTGTTTTGGAATAAAGCAAATTATTATTATTATTATTAATGGCCCGTGATCGCTGTCTGTCTCTCTTTTCAACATAGAACTTCGCACCGATGTGCAGCAGTTCAACTCGCCACACTCCATGTAGCACATAAAGCAAGAGAAGAAATTAGAAGAAATGCAAAATAGAGACAGTAGACAGGGATATGAGACAAAGGAATAGTAATATTGAAGAACAATACAGTTCCATTGGGTATCATAAGTCACAAGGAGTGGATACATCTGCGATATTCATTGAGAACGATTTTGAGAAATATCACCAATTGTCTCCAGCCATTGGTGTTTACCGTCCCGCGGACCTCAACCAGAAAGTTTACACCTTCCTACGTGTCTGGCTTCAACTAACTGTTGTGGATTTCATTGACTGGTGCCATGTTTTGTTTGACCGCCTCCAGCTTTTTTCGAACCTGACCCTATGTTAGCTAACGTTGCCCGTTGTCGATGAAGACGACGGCCAGACATGCATGCATGTCCTAACCATCCCACCCAATCGATGTAACTGCTTCACAACCTCATCGATTGGTTTCCCCTCCCACCTACCTAGCACTCGTCCAATGCCTAATCTCAACATTTCTCACCCTATTATACCACTTCACATAGAAGATAGAACGCGGGCACCTATGATCAAAGACAGCTAGCCTTTTCATGTCCTCTACTCTAAAAGACCAGGTCTCACAGTCATGGAGGATGACGGAGCGGGCTGCTGAGCAGTACACACGCCCTTTGGTCGATAGCCAGCCAGATATCACGTCTACGCCAGAGATGGCGTAAACTGGCATATGCGAAACTAGCGGTCAACGTGCTCTACCACCTCACTACCTATTTCTAAGCTAGGAGTCAATGTAGTCCATTCCTGTAACATTATCTTACATTTAGTGGGAGCGAACCGCATGTGAAACATTCGTAGATTGCAGCTCAAGGTGTTCAGAAGACTGCATTTTGTCAGCGTCTTCACCTATAAGGACTATATCATCCGCATGCATATTCTAAGTCACGAGAGTATTCCCTGGTAACAAGTCAATCCTCGAGTCACTGAAGTCACTTAGGGTTAAGTCCATTAGTACATCTATGATAAAATTGAATAGAAATGGGGATAGTGGACATCCCTAACGGACACCACTAGTTGTCACCACTTCAGATGACAACTCGCCGTAAGCCCTCACCTGGCTGGCTGCATGAGTTTGAGTAGAGTGCCTTGATCAGTGCAATGTATTTTCTCGGCATTCCTTTTACAGCCAAGCATCGCCAGAGTACCTCTCAGTCGACAGAATCGAATGCCACCTTTAGGTCAAGAAATATAACGATTGTTGGACGCCGGTAAGAATGCCTATGTTCTAGAATCTGTCGAAGAGTGAAGATATGATCAATACTCCCTCTTCCTGGCCTAAAGCCTGCCTGGTTTTCTCGTGCGTGTGCCTCCCGAGTACCACTTAGTCTACACAGTATTATTAAGCCTAGAACTTTATATACCATATTAGTCAAGCTAATCCCTCTATGATTATCACAGGATAACTTGTCTCCCCTCTTGTATTTGGGGATAATCAATGACTTACACCAACCCGATAGGACTTCCCCTGATTCCCAGACGCTGCCTAGTACCTCAGTTAATGCAGACAGTAAACTATCTCCTCCGTACTTAAATACTTTTAGAGTCATTCCATCAGGTCCTGCTGCTTTGCCTCGTTTCAGATTAGTGACGGCCTTGGAAACCTCAGTTTGGGACGGTGGACCTGTGTCTATATCCCATTCAGGGAGGTGTTGGATGTTTGGTAAGTTGGGCGTGGCTGTAGGCCAATTAAACTGCTCCTCAAAGTGTTCTTTCCAACGTTCCAATCGTCTATCCTGGAAGCTAGTTATGGTGCCACTTGTCTCAGAGATTATTTCACTTGTCGTTTGCATTTAACCACCTGTTTCCCTGATAAGTCTAAATAGTTGTCTGGTGTTACCAATCGCCGATGCCTTCTCCATCTCTTTCGCTTTTGTCGCCCACCACTATTCATGGTTGTTACGAAGGCTTCTTGTTAGTTTTCGTTTCAGTAGCTTTCACTCCTCATCATAATCGGAGCTCGCCGGAATCAGTCTTCTTACGTCAATCAGTTCGAATGAGGCTGTAGAGATCCAATGGCTCTTACTAACTTTAGGTTTTAGCTTATTAACAGCTTTTACAGCTGTGTCTACAGCTAACTGTACGTATGTGCTAGGCTACCTCAGGGGAAGTCCTGCTGTCGACCTCAGATACTCGTTTCGCTATTTCTTCCCTAAAAAGAGGGACTCAGTGTCTCCATCTAGTTGGGGACGTAACTGTTTCGCTGCCATCAATTTCTTATGTCGGTTTAATCGTAGGCATAAGCGTGCGCGAACCAGAACGTGATCAGAGTCTACGCACGTGTTCTAGAAGGAGCGGCAGTCTTCTACTGACCCTCGCCAACGATACCCTATGGCTATGTGGTCTATCTGAGTCCAGCGTTGATTTGGTGACGGAGGTCGCCAGGTTACACAATGTTTCAAATAAAAACAAAAAATTGAGAGGACTATAAATATAAAAAGTACAATAACAATAAAGGTTGATGTTGTAAGGGTGAAGGAAATGGTTTGTTTATTAGTGCAAAGAAGGTTAGTTAGTTCATGCCTAACACTATTTTCATCACATAAAGTACGTGCCAAATATGGTATAGTGGAATTATTATACTTAGACGTACGTGCATAAAGTCTTCTGAAAAGACTTCTTGTTTTACCTGAGGAGACACAAGGTTGGAGCTGCGGGTAAAGTGGATGTTCGCAGTCTGATAAAATCTATACAACAAATTTGTTGCATGAAATCAAGTGCCCATCGTCAATGACTATGTCAACAATATAGCCCAGTGGGATGCTACCACTCGTCCTACTGGCAGTCTTCAGAGTTCTACGAAGTATGACATAGTCCCTTTTAAGCAATCCAGGGTGAACAGTAAGGAAGAATAGGTAGGATGCACGAGTTGATAAACTGTAAAAGGAGGGATTGGTTGAGTTATGCCTGAGTGCCTTAACTTCTTAATGTAAAAAGTCAGATGAAATATTCTTTTAGAAATCGCTAAGAAATGGGAAGACCAGGATATAGGTCAGTTGAAAGAATTAACCCAAGATACTTAACTTCAGACTTGGTTTCTCATTAACCCCATGAATATTTAGTTCACTGGTTAGTTTTTAATGACAGAATCTAGTAGTTGGTAACACTGTGTTACTATACAGATTTATTGCACTGGAAAATTTATACCATTTACCGGGTTAGTAATAATAATAATTATTATAATTGTAATTTGCTTTATTCCAAAACAGTACTTATGATACAGCATAGGATTTTCAGCATTTGATATGAATTGTATAGAGTTTTCGTATATCAACATTTGATGATTAAAAAATAGTCATGATTAACGTATAAGATCTAATTTCCCTTCTATTTTAGGTCAGATACAGAAACCTTTGAATGGGAATTGTCTAAAGAAAATGTGAAACCATTAAAATGTGGTCGATCTGTGGATCTGTTAAATAAAGTTCTTTCATCACAAAGATCAAGTGAATTCCAACTAAAACGTCGTCTTTTGAGGGAGTAAGTTCCTACAGATTTTTTTAGATGTATTCTACAATTTTGATTTGTTAATGGTTTGTATTCGCTTATTACTTACGTTATCTGCTTTGAAATTATCTAATTAAAACTGGGAAAAATTTGTCTTTTTCAAGATATAAAAGAATAGTTCTCTGACTTTGGACTATTTATCCGCAGAATGTACCTAAAATAAATTTTCACATACTATGCCTCAGTCAGATATTACTGCCTCTCATCTCAGTGACCCGGAATCGATCTTTTGAGTACCCTTGCTATGTATGAGTCAGAATGATTTGTGCGAGAGACTAGTTCAAAGTAGACTCTCTTGACTGGAAACACAGTACCTAAGCGAACTGTTGACAGTTTGAAGCGCTTCCTCAGTTCATGTCCTTGGACTTGTGTATTTATTATTATTTGTTATTGTTCCCTTTAGTTCCTAGAGGAACATAGGGCTTCAGCCGTGCGTCTCCATTGCGTTCGGTTCTCTGCTAGAGTCTTCACCTGGCTCCATGTCTGCCCACCCGTTTTCATCTCCTCTTCACATGACCTCCTCCAAGTCACCCTTGCACTGACGACCAACTCGCTGCTTCCCTTTCGGGTTCCACTCGAGCAATGACTTGTCTAGTGATGTCACTTGATGGTTTCCTCAGAGTATGGCCAGCCAATCCATCTCCATTTCTTCCTGCCTATTTGTTTCACAATCGGTTCCTGCTGCGTTAGTTGGTTCGCTCATTGCCAGAGATCTCTGTTGCTGATCTTTTCTGGCTGGCCATCTGATCTTGAGTTTGAGCGAAGACAACTGTTAATGAAGGTTTGTAGTTTGTTTGAGATGCTCTTTATGACGCGCTGACCAAGTCTCTGATCCGTATAGTAGCACTGACTGACTTCACATTGGAGTTGAAGATCCGGATCTTATTTTTGATGCTGAGTAGTGCTGTTGACCTCCACACAGACTTGAGAGTAGTGAAAGCTTGTCTTGCTTTTCCGATTCTTGCTTTGATATCCTCGTCAGTTCCGTTCGCCTGTAGTTGAAACGATGCTTCCCAGGTAGGTAGGTAAAAGAGGTTGTTTCTTTCAGGTTCCTCCCATTTATGCTGAACGTTGTCAGTTGTTGTTGTTGTTGCTGTTGGTGGTGTTGCCCAGGAATCTTCATCACCTCTGTCTTCTTTATGTTCACCTTATTTATTTATTTATTTAAACGCATAAAAACTTGGTACAATATGGCACCAAGAAAGATGCGCTACACAATAATAATAAAACAAAATAGATTAAAAGTAAAAATATAAGTAGAAAACGGACAAAGAACTTCATCAGGAAGGAAAAGTCATGTTTAACAGGTTCAAACAGTATTCGTTAACTATCATCAGGAAGGGAAGAAAGAAGGAAATTGCAACACGACACAGATAGGCTAGGAATCCAGACAAAGGCAAAAGGCTGTCGAAGGTTAAGAAGTCAAGGTGAGCAAAGGTAAAATATAGGAAACTAAGTATAAAAATAAAAGTAAGGTTGGAAAGAGATGTGTTACTTGAGACATCATTATTGCTTGAACGCATTGTTACGAGCGCGCGATAAGTTCCGCTGATATTTTGTCGCTTTATTTCATTCATTGTGTGAGGGCTGAGATACTGCCCGGGTGCCCAGACCGAAGCAGGTGGTTTTCTTAAGGGACCACCCCCAGAGCCTTTGACTTGGGGTCTAACCCGCAAGGCAGCGGAGCAGCGTCAGGTACTGCGTTCCCATGGTTGCCGGTGACCCATATGGGTTCGTACGCCATTTGATCCGATTGGATTCTGGAGCCCATGTACTCCATGGTAACTGCTTTTAGTCTAACCGCTATCCAAACAACCTTCCTGGCATGGTAGGACCTGCAGGGACATGAGTCCCAGCCAGTTTAGCTTGTTGGGTCACTGCGGCATTCAAGCCCGACCACCACGGCAAGGTAGCAGGTATCGGCCGGGTTATGTTCACCTGCTTGGACTTGTGTAAGACAACAAAACTCGGGATAGCCAAGTGTTTTCTTTGGACTGTTGGTTTGGTATCCAACTTCGGTTGAATCAGATCAGAATAAATAAAGTTCATCAACTTACGTATTTCTTCACTGTTAGCCTAACTGATATAAGACACACAACAGTTTCTAAATAAGACCTGGCCAATGATAGCCAACATATGGTATTTAAGGAATTAATTTACTTAAAAAGGCTTATTCTCGTTATCTGAGTAATCCTGTAAAGTATCTTATGAGTGAATGCAAAGTTATGTTTATTAACGTCTCCATTTACTGAAACATTAATCACTGCCCTCATATAAATGCTTTAATTGGTAAAAAGTTTACTACTACCACTACTACTACTGTAAATTTTGTGAGTAGTATTTCACAACATTCAATTTCTAATGTTATGTTATTTATACTTTTTTTCTCTTTGTGAAAGTCGACTGTTTTCCTGTGTTGTTTAAAACTAAATTTGTAAATAAAATACCTTTTTCATACATAACTATTCAGACGAATGATTATTTCCAGTAAACTTCGTTTTCAGACTGTACAATTATAAGTCTATAGGAAAATATTCACTACAACAGCTAACATTGGGTGTACACTGAAAATTATTTCAGCATTAAAACACTGGTATGCGTTGGTGGCACAGCAGTAGAATGCTCATTAACCACTCTTCACATGGTCCGGGGTTCGACAAGGCACTCCACAAACCTAGCTATCTATGTCAGCAATAAGACTGATAAAGAAGGAAGGTTAAGCATGGGGCTAGCAACCCCATCCCGTAAAAATAAACACCACTGCTACCGAAACTTCAAGCCTCTAGCCTGAAGACCTAAGTTCCAGTGGGAACGTAAAGGAATAAAACATTTTACACACTGAGTGTTATTGGAAGTGTTCTGTCTCCAGTGTTCAGTGACATAATATAGTAAGTAATATTAAGGGTAAGCGTAGAACCTAAGGTAAGTAGAGTAAGTCGATCGATGAGGTTGCGAAGGTGAACTAGCTAAGACGGCTACCGAACGATCGACTTCCTCGATGGGCGATCTTAGTTGATATAAGATTAGTTTGGAAAAAAGGGAGGAGTGGTTAGACTGAAACCGTGCATCACTATATGAACTCCTTTGCAGTTTGTTTGAGCCACGTAGGAAGGCGTTATCTGCCTTTGAATAATAATCTACCCAATGGGTTGATAGCTGACGAAATCTCAACACGGATACAGAAGGCTCGTTTCGCATATGCTAGTTTACGCCGTCCCTGGCGCAGGCGTCATATCCGGCTATCGACGAAAGATCATAAGTGCCTGCGTTCTGTCTCCTGTGTGAAATGATATAATAAGATGAGCAATATTGAAGTAAGGCATCGATCGAGTGCTAGGTAGTTGTGAGGGGAAATCAATCGATGAGGCTGTGAAGTTCCATTGATTGGGTTAGATGGTTAAGACATGTGTTACGCATGCATGCCTAGACATCGCCTTCCTCGACGGGAAATGTTAGCTGACATAGGATGGGTCAGGTTGGAAAAGAGCTCGTTAGTGGTTGTCAAACCAAAACATGGCTTCATCAGTCAATGAAATCCACAACAGTTGGTTGAAGCCAGACACGTAGGAAGATGTAGACTTCCTGGTTGGTGTCTTCGGGACAATAAAAACCAATGAAGGCTGGAGACAATTGTTGATATGGCTCAAAATCCTCGTTCTCAATGGCTGTTGCAGATGCATCCACTCCTTGTGACTTATAATACCCAATGGAACTATATTGTTCTTCAATATTACTATTCTTTTTGTCTCGTATCTCTGTTTACTGTCTCTGCTTTACATTTCTATTAACTTTCTCTTGCTTTGTGTGCTACGTGAAGGAAGTGTGGTGACTTGAACTGCTGCACACTGGTGCAAAGTTCTATGTTGAAATCAGTTAGTCAATCACCTTTGAATAAGAGGATAAAGTTTATTATGCTTTTTGCTGATACAGCATCATTAGTATATATATTCTCCTTGGGATGCTAAGAATCCATGACTCTCCTACATCCACTAAACTGTCATATTTCTCCATGTTACTATTCTTTTCCTACCACATTTCTGTTTGTGATAATTCTTTTGAATCTCCTTTGCTTTTGTGTTTGTGAATCTGGCAAGTTGAACTGCTTCAATTCTGTGGAAAGTCCTATTTTGAAATTCAATCAGTGACCGGGTGTTATGCTGAAACAGACTTAATCATGAGGATATTTACATCTTTTATTGTGGAGTGATTGCTCGCTCAAGTTACTCTTGTTCTGACTAGATAACTTTAACAAAATAAATTCAATTATGTAAATGCTCAGACTATCTTGTCATTGCTAATGATATTTCTTTGTGTTCCGAGTTGAACGTAGTGCTTCAACAGTGCATCTGTATTTCGGCCTGGCTCTTTACAGTCCTCTCTAGCTGGCTCCACGACTGTCCATAGGCTCTCATCTCCTCCTTACAGGATCTCTTCTACATCATGCTTGGACGCCCAACTCGTTGTTTCCCACTAGGGTTCCACTAAAGGTCATGCATAGAGCGTGATGTCACTCAACGATGTCTTCATCATGTGTCCAATCGATCTCCATTTTCTTCTGCATATTTGTTGACTAATAGGTGTTTGGCTAGTTCGTTGCCAAAGCTCCTTGTCGCTAATCGTTTTTGACCTATCTGATCTTCAGAATGGAGTCAACGAAGCCAGCTGTTGATGAAAGTCTGAAGCAGCCTGTTAGGTAGGCTTTTGGTGACACAAAAAGTTTCTAAACCATATGGAAGCACTGACTGACTTTATACGAGTGTTGAAAATCTGAATTTTGTTTATATTCTGATCTCAGCAGATTTCAGATTACTTTATGTCTGTCTTGCTTTTCCGATCGCGCCAGTTTTGACTTCCTGGTCCGTACCGCGTATGGTTAAAACACCACTGCCCAAATAAGTGAAGAAGGTAGCCTCGTTCAAGTTCCTGTCATTGATAGTGATTGGTACTTGTTGTTGGTTAGTTATCTTCATCCC